CCCAAAGTGCTGGGATTACAGGTGTGAGACACCACGCCCGGTCCCTGCACCCTTTTATCCAAGGTGACCACATGAACCAGTTTGCCCGGGAGGTCTGGTTTACCCAGAATAATTATTCAGTGTCCCTTTTATTCTCTGTAGAGTCTCTCTCTGTCACCCAGGCAGGAATGCAGTGGCACTCTCCTGACTCACTACAGCCTCCAACGCCTGAGCTCAAGAAATCCTTCCACCTCAGCCTCCCAAGTAGCTGGGACTACAGGTGTATGCCACATGCCCAGCTAATTTTTTAATTTTTAATGTGTAGAGACAGGGTCGCTCTATGTTGCTCAGGCTGGTCTCAAACTCCTTGGCTCAAGCAATCCTCCAGCTTTGGCCTCCCAAAGTGCTGGGATTAAAGGCATGAGTCACTGTGCCTGGCCACAAATGTACTAATCTTACAATAGCAGAATTCCATTTACCTGCCCCCGCTTGCCTTGTGCCATTGTCATAACTGTTACTTTTATATGTGTTTTAAAGTCCAACTTATGGACATAAGGGGGCATAGTCATAAGTTGGACTTTAAAATACACATAAAAGAAGAAGTTACGACAGTGGCACAGCACCTGGCCAAGGGAAGCAGGGGTGGGTAAATAAAATTCTACTGTTGTAGAATAGTAGAATTCCAGCCTGTAATCCCAGCACTTTGGAAGGCTGAGGCAGGAAGATTGCTTAAGTCCAGGAGTTTGAGACCAGCCTGGGCAACATGGGGAGACCTCATCTCTACAAAAATATTTTAAAATTAGTTGGGCATGGTGGTGCGTGTCTGTAGTTCCAGGTACTCAGGAGGCTGAGGCATGAGAATCACTTGAGCCCAGGAGACTGAGGCCGCAGTGAGCCATGGCTGTCTCAAAAAATAAAAATAAAGTCCAATTTACAATGTTATTATTTTGCTTTAAGCAGCAAGTTGTCTTTTACAGAAATTATGACAAGGGAAAAAAGTGTTTTATGTTTACTCATTTCCAAGCTTTGTTGGAGTAGGTCTTACTCTAGTTCCTGGTGCTTACACCTAAAGCATGGCATTGCTGGTGTTTCAGATAGATGCCCAGGGTGCTGAAGAGGTTTCTCCATTTTGGCTGGCCCAGACTGCCGATATCTTCCAGAACTGCTCAACTTCTCCAGTTTTATTTCCTGTTCTCAATCACATAGCAGCTGTTCTCTGGTAAGTGTCACACAGTCTCACCCTACACGTGCTAGCACAGTCCCCAGGCAAGGACTTGCAGTGAACCCCATACAGACTTATGGGAACCCCCTTCAGTATAGCTCCCTCCTCTGTAATGCACCGCTCCACGGATTCCAGCTACTTCAACAGCCCTGAACTCTGAGCTTTGTCCCTCAGCACGGCAGGACTGCTGTGCTCTGCTTGAGGTCTAGTTCCCCGAACTGCAGTCGGGAATTGTCTCCAAGCAAAGGACGGGGGCAATTGTGGGGCTCACTTTCTGGGTTTTCCTTCTGTGGATGGTTGTTCCCTAAATGACACAACAATATCTCCCATTCCTACATTCTTCTCACAACATGACTTTAACACTCCTCCCAGCAATTGTGGGGTCTACCTTCCCTACCCTTGAACCTGGGAGGGGGCTGTGACTGCTCTAGCCAATAGAGAGCAGTAGAAGCAATAGTAGGTCATAAAAAGGATATAGTTCCTCTCTCTCCTCCCCACTCCCAACACTCATCCCCAGGGGCCAGACACCATGTTATAAGGAAGCCCAAACTAGCCCACATGGACAGACCATGTGGAAAGGTCCACGTGAAAAATAACTGAGGCCACCAGCCAACAGCCAGCATCGACTGCCAGATATCAACACACTTCAGATGATTCCAGTCCCAGACACTGTAGAATGGAGACAAGCTGCCTTGATGTGCCCTATTTGAAATTTCGACTCACAGTATCTGTGAACTCAATAAATGGTTGTTTTACTTCACTAAGTTTTGGGGGTAATTTGTAATGTAGTCATAGTAACTAAAATACTCTCTTAAGGAATTGCAGCTCTGTGCTGTCTGCTGTCCAATGCTGAAAATAGTCGCCTTACATATTTTGTCCTGTATTATTGTCGTGAGGGAGCTAGTCTTCAAGCCCAGACTTTAAGCCGAAGCTGTATTCTCTAAAGTCATGATAAAGGTAATAACAACATTGAGAGCGACTTCCTTTTATAGACTGCTTTCTATATCCTATGAACTGTGCTAGGCATTGTACATATGTTATTTCAGTGAAACCATACAACAATCCTGTGAAATAGGCATTATTAACCCCCATTGTATGGAGAAGAAAACTAAGGTTCATAGAGGTTAAATGAGTTATCCATGGTTTACATATGGGTTTGTCTGGCACTGAAGCTCATGCAATTACCCATATAAAAAACACATATAGACACATTCCCAGTTGTGTGTGTATATATGTAATATATGTATACATACACACACATGTGTACATGCATAGGCATATAGAGACACATACACACCCATTACACATTTCCAGAGTTTTTATGCTTTTAAAATATTTTCTTGTTCTCAGAGTTAAAAATCCCCTTCCCCCCAATTTATGTTAAATAGACTGAAAGAAAATCTGCTGGATATTAAGTTTCCCAAGCATACCCCAAGATGAAATTCTCTCCATCTGGGGCCACCACAGGCATGGGCAGCAGAGATATGCCTCTGTTCCCTTGCCAGGGATTGCCTGGGACCCGAACTTGCAGGGAGGTGGGGTGGGACTCTTAAACAAGACTTGGCTTGGCAGACAGAAGCCTTCTCCTGGGGCTGCAAGGACTCTGTACTTGATGTTGTAAGAGTCTCAATTCAGAGAAACAAAGTGCTTCTCTGAATGTGCAGAGAAAGCAGAGAGCCCAGAGCAAGAGCCCAGTGCTAGGAAGGGAAGGAGTGGAAGGCGACGAGAGATAATCCCTTGTTGAAGCAGGGTCATTTCCAAATATTCCCCAGTAGTGATGGGAGCTGGCTGATGGAAGGATGAGGCATTCAGAGAGGGCCCTCTTCATTCTGCAGTTTCCCCAAATTCAGCTTGCCCTTCTAGGGAAGGGGAGTAGGGAGGATACTGAGAAGCTCTCAATGGGCAGTTTGAGGGCAGGAAAGAAGCTCTTAGAGGAGCAAGAGTCTCAGGGCAGAGCGTTGAGCTCAGTAATTCAGAACCTGTTCATATTCCAGCCGGGCGCGGTGGCTCGCACCTGTAATCCCAGCATTTTGGGAGGCTGAGGCAGGCGGATCACTTGAGGTCATGAGTTTGAGACCAGCCTGGCCAATATGGTGAAACCCCGTCTCTACTAAAACAAAGCAAAACAAAACCTGTTCAAATCCCGTCTCCTTAAAATAGTGTAGACCCTGGTCGTATTCTTGAGAAGTAAGAACACAGGCAGACGTGCTTCTCTAGGGGGGAGAAAAGAAACGATACTGTTGTGTTATTACAATCATTTTGTTTTGTTTTGCCTTTGCTTTGCTTTGCTTTGCTTTTGAGACAGAGTTCCGCCTCTGTCGCCCAGGCTGGAGTGGCAATGGCAGGATCTTGGCTCACTGCAACACTCTGCCTCCCGGGTTCAAGTGATTCTCCTGCCTCAGCCTCCCGGGTAGCTAGGATTATAGGCGCCCGCCACTACGTCCGGCTAATTTTTGTATTTTTAGTAGAGACGGGCTGGTCTCAAACTCCTGACCTACGGTGATCCGCCCACCTCAGCCTCCCAAAGTGCTGGGATTACAGGCATGAGCCACGGCGTCCGGCCTACAATCACTTTTATCTAGAAAATAGATGCCCCATATTGATCCCCACCCCTACCTCACAAAAAAATTCCCCTTGCGCAACCTGCAGCAAGCAAGTTGAGTCCAAAGCAAGAAAATGGAAAGGGAGCTCTCTAAGGTTCCTGCCCCCTTTTCTCAAGTTCAGTCCTGAAGCCCCGTTTAAAGCTCCTTAGAAGCAACTCTTGAGAGTATACTGCTCTTGGACATTTTACACACAAAGAAACTAGTTCTGAGCAGTTTCAATGGCTTGCCCAAGCCTGAGGTCAGCGGCGGTCCCCGGCCAGGAAGCCAGCGCTGTGTTCCGCGTCCCGGCCAGCCAGCGGTACCCTCTCCACAGCACCAAACTGAGGCTTCCACACCGTTCGGGGGCACCCGACGAATGAACGTCATTCTCCCCAGCCTAGGTGGTAAGGGAGAGTGGCCCCGTGCCAAACTAGGGTAGGAGGTCCCCTCTGGGCTCTTGTCTGTCTGTCCGGTCTCGTCTCTGCACCCACCCCAGCCCATCAGTGTGGATCCGCGTGCCTGTGTGGTTCCAGCCCGGCACGGGGAAAAAACTGCCCGGCTCTTTATGTTCAAGTGCGAAGAGGGCGGAGGACGGGGGAGAGTAACGCAGATTGTCTGCTCACAGGGGACTGCCAGGTGGCCTGACTGCCGAGTTCTGACAGGTCTCAAGCACGCGCACCGCTCTGCGCCAGGTACACACCGCGTACCTCCGCCTCCTTGCGCAGCTCCTGGCCTCCGCGCTCCGCGGGCTGGGCGTCCAGGCGGTCCCACAACAGCAGCGGCAGGGCGCGCAGCAGGAGGCCGACGCGCGCGACCATCTCGCTGCCTCTGGTGCAGCCCGACTCGAGGAGCTACTGCGCGCAGGGAGCCAGCCGGCAGTCAGCCGCGTCCGGGACCCCAGGGATGGCAATGCTCTGCGCCGACCCCGCGCGGAGTGGGACTGTCCCGGGGTTTCGCCAGTGCCCCAGCTCCGCCTGCTGGGCCGCTCCTCCGCCGCGCTTCGCCGGGAGCCGGCCAGAGGTCGTCCAGCCCGGGCAGTGCCTGCCCGCGGGTCCGCCGGCCCCGGGGACCGAGGGAGGGAGGAAGGAAAGGCAGGCGGAGGGGGCGGAGGCCCGGCACTCCCGCCCCACCCACCCCGCTCCGCCGCTGGAACGCGCAGCGGTCCCAGAGCCTCTTCCGTTCGCTGCACGGCCTTGCCCTGCGCCCGCCACCGCCCTACGGATCAGTCCTCTCGCCCGCCACCTCCAGTTGACCCGGATCTGTCCAGGGAGGGTGAGGGAAGAAAGGCCTTCTCCTGGCAAGCGTGGCTACCTAAGACTCCGATGAAGAGAGGTCTTGGTCTACCTGAGGGTCGTTGATTGTTTCAGCTGGGTGGGGAGCGAGGCCCCCCCCACCCAGGGTCGGGGTGTAAGAGAAGGAGCATAGGGCTGGGGTCAGAACTGGGTTTGAGTTCCAGACTTGCTCCTTTGCTAGCCCTTTGAGTCCTGCCTCAGCCACCTGCTGGCTGTGTGGTGTTGGACCAGTCACTCACCCTCTCTGAACCCACTTTTCTCATCAGTAAATGGGATAATAAGAATATCGTTATCCTGTGACTGTTGGGGAGATTTAATGAGATAATAATGCCTGTAAATTACTGAGCAGGGTGCATGGCATCATGAAGTGTGCACTTAATAAGGGGTAGGCTGCAGCTGTGTGATCTTTGGTGAAGGATTTAACTACTTCGAGCATCAGTTTCCTTATCAATAAAATGACAGCATACGATATTTAGTGCCCAGCGTTGCATGAGGATGAAAAGAGAAAATGAGTGTAAAGTGCCTGATTTTATATACCCCACAAGGATGGAGTGAAACAGTTTACGCGTAAGCCTTTGCTAAACTCACATTGAGCAAAAAGTAAACTGTTTTCATTATCTGTCTGTGTAACTGAGAGCTGGTTGCTGTCTCACTTCTACTCAATTCACTACTTTGTAAAATGCAAATGGAAAATGATACTGAGCTCTGGGGGTCATTGTGGATTTAGATGAGTTAATGTGTGTAAAAATAATCTGGAATCCCTAAAGTGCTGAACAAAAATAATGCTGTGTTCCAACCCTAAGGCTCAGGGCCTCGGTATCACACAATGTTTTCATACTATTTAGAAAAATACACCACTTGTGTGGAGGAATTGGAAAAAGCCCCCCCATCCCCACTTTTTTTTTTTTATGAGATGGAGTCTTGCACTGTTGCCCAGGCTAGAGTGCAGTGGCTCCATCTTGGCTCACTGCAGACTCCGCCTCCCGGGTTCAAGCGATTCTCCTGCCTCAGTCTCCTGAGTAGCTGGGATTACAAGCGCCCACCACCGCGCCTGACTAATTTTTGTATTTTTTAGTAGAGACAGGGTTTCACTATCTTGGATAGACTGGTCTCGAACTCCTGACCTCATGATCCACCTGCCTCGGCCTCCAAAAGTGCTGGGATTACAGGCATGAGCCACCGCGCCCAGCTGGAAAAAGCCCTTTTAATAGACATTTTATGTGTGTATATATGTACATATGTATTTTTAAGACAGGGTCTTGCTCTGTTGCCCAAGCTGGA